CTTTCCCTAATCCATGTACTTTTACATGGAACTTGAAATCAATGCCTACTTTAGTTGATAGCTAGGAAAGTACCTAGATGGCCAAATTTTATCCTGTTTCACTGGATTTGGGAAATAAAGGCAGTGTATACATACTGGCCCACCACTAAGAACAGTCTAGCTCCATCCTCTTTTGAACCCCACTTCAGGGAGTTGAAGGCTGCTATTAAATCTCCCCCTCAGTCTTCTTTTCTTGAGACCAAGTAAGCCCAGTTCCCTCAGCTTCTCCTCATAAGCCATGTTTCCAGCCCCTAGCCATTTTCATTGCCCTCTGCTGGGCTCTTTCCCATGTGGGCCTCCCACTACAGAAAGGATGTGGACAACATTGGACACAGTACTCCAGATGTGGCCTCACCAGTGCCAAACAGCGGGGAACAATCACTTCCTTTGATCTGCTGGCAACACGCAGCCCAGTACGCTGTTAGCCTTCTTCACAACAAAGGCACACTGTTGGCTCACGTTCAGCTTATTGTCCACTGTAAACCCCAGGTCCTTTTCTGAAGAGCTGCTGCTTAGCCATTCGGTCCCAAGCCTGTACTAGTGCGTGGGATTCTTCTGTCCTAAGTGCAAGACTTTAAACTTCTCATTGTTGAACCTCATGAGATTTCTTTTGGTCCAATCTTCCAAGGTCTCTCTGGAACCTAGCCCTACCTCCAAGCCTCTCTCTTACTCCCCCTAGCTTGGTGTCATCTGCCAACTTCCTAAGGGTGCGCTCCATCCCATCTTCCATGTTGAACAAAACTGGCTCCATGACTGACCCTTGGGGCGGTCCACTTGGTACTGGCTGCCAACTAGACATCAAGCCTTTGAGCCTGACAATCCAGCCAGTTTTCTATCAACATTACAGTCCATTCATCCAACCCATACTTCTTTAGCTTGCTTGCAGGGATTTTGTGGGAGTTAGTTCCTCCCCAAGTTATACGGCACTATTCAGGCTCTTCAATTATTACATATTTAAACCGCGAAACCTTTGAAAAGAGCCAACATTTTAAAATAATGGGAAATAGGAAAAACAAACTTGACAAAAAACAATGAATCTTTGCCCTACAATGGAAATTTAAAAACAACTTCAGAGATGGTTGGTGACTATAACAGCGCAGTTCATTCCCATTTTAACTAAGCAAGTTCATATTTTGTACTAAACCTTCAGGGGTTTGATAGCTTCTTTTGATACAACATAGCAAATCAAAATGAAAAGATGTATCACAACAGAAAAGTATCAGGGCTGACCTGAATTAATGTCCACAGAACCTTTCCCATTTTTCACATCTACGATCCAAGTTGCTTCTTTACCGCCAGGACCATCTTTTACTTTGAAGGCAAAAACACCACCAATTTTCTTGACAAATTTTTCTCCTTCCTGTAACAATTATGGACAAGAACATTTACGGGACAAATCATTCCTTTCAGTTAATCTGTCCTGGCACAATTTCTAAATAATTTTATTTATAATGATATATTAGGGTACAGTAAACAAACCTTTCTATTATTCTGCTAAGCTTCATACAAAGTAATATAATGCATATGGTACTTTTCAAAAAGTGAAAAATCCATTAATTTTAAGATCAATGGAAACACAGTTGCTATACTTAAGGTAGTCATTCCCTATTTTTTAGGGCTTAACATCTCCAAGCATATAGAAAAGTTTTTTGTTTTTTTTTTTAATGAAAAAAGGTTAAGTAAATCCACTCTCAGATAACCACTTGCAAGCCCTCTGCATTTCAAAAAGCAAAACTAAAACAAAACAAATGGAACACATGGGATGCCAACGAGACCATATTATATTAGTGGACAGGAAAATACTAATTCTTTATAAACAACAATTGTTTTTTAAAGACAACAACAGCTTGTTCTGTACTTCTTGCTTTCAATTTGCAGGTCATATGATCCCTCCCTATTGTCATAGCAAGAAGCAAGCAGCAAACAAGAAAAAATGCTGAGACTTACTAACAGTAATTAGGTAGCTATGTACATTCATCAGCTATAATGAGGTACAGTTTTAAAAAGACAAAAAAAAAAATCAACCTGAAAGTTTTGAACTGAGCAAAATCTCTAACTCATTTTACCCTCTGTGTGTTTCATGTATAAAGAGATTTTTTGCCGTTTCTGCAAATTAAAACTTAATTTTAGTGGAAGAAAAAAAAAAACCCCAAAAAAACCCACACTTTCCTATAAATAATGATCTAATAATAATCATGATTTAATAATGACTTAATGTAATACCAATTTAATTGATTTAAATATTAATACTAAAGTTAGACCACTTTGATTTGTACATGCATATAAATCTGTATTCCTATTATTTCAAAGGCAACATTTAATTCAGAGGAGTGGTTTACCCCACACATGCACCAGAGGTTCCAGGAAGAGATTAATATCAGGTGTTTGGTGCAATTACAAGATTCAGAACACAGATTCAAGAGTTCGCCAAAGGCAAGAAATCTATTTAAGCAAAACCAATCCAAGAAATACCAAAGCCGTTTCCACAAGTAACTGGAAACTTTATTTTACTACTTTGTTCTTCTGTAATGAGACATTTATTCTTTGCCTTAAATACACCAGAAGTCACGCTGGGGGAAGAGTACTTCTCTCCCTACCTCCCCACCCAGCCAGGAGAAAGTAAGAAAGCTTCTCTGGTGAACGCAATTCTGGGCAATTGAATCCATTACAAAGTTCATAGCAGTAATGAACAGCAAGACACATCTTTGAGATATTTCAGTGCTTTGATGAAGGGTTGCACATCAGCCTGCAGGATTGAGCAGGTAATAAACAAGTCATCAGGGCTAAAGAGATGATGATTTAAGTCTGCAAGGTTGCTGCCACTACTGTCATCACTTCAGCTGAGGTGTTAGGAGCTTCCCAGAGTCCCACCAACACTTGCTGGGGCAGCAGATTAACAGAGTGAAAAGGAAGAGGGGGAGTGGAAACAGCTCCCAGCCTTGAGACAGACAGAGCTCTTTTACCCAGGTCCAAAAAAAGAAAAAGGCAAATCCCTGCCCCTACACCAAGGCAGCCTCCCTACCTCCCCCACTCAACTAATGGCAACCAGTTTCTTCCATGTCCCATATAAAACTTATCCTTTTGGTAGACATACAAAGGAAACCTACTTTCCATTTTAAAATATGCTGAAGTTCAGCAAAAATTGGTAACCGTTGCCTGGAAAGGATTCCTTCCTACTAAAGTCCTCATTTTAATAAATATATAGCAAATCCATCTAAATCTCAATAAAATATGGCTTTAATGGTAGCTGGAACATTCATTCAGAGGAAATCTACATTTTATCTTTAACTTATCACTTACTTAAGTTGTTAACCGATATGAAAACGCAATAAGCATGACAAGGATTTAAGGAGTGAATTAAAGGCAGAATTCCAGCCTCTAAGCACAAAGTACAACTGAAATAAGTTAAATTGTCCTTTAAGATGCTTTTTAAAGAAATGAAGTGAGGTTACATACCTCTTCAAGTTTCTTTTCAATCTCTTTGAAGACGAGATGTGCTTTAAATCCGTCAACAAGTGCTCTGGTGGGAATAGCCTGGATGCGGTGGTTGCTGAAATGAGAGAAGAGAAAACCCCTCATTTGACTCACTTAACTTTTAGACAATGAAGAACAAACCTGTCTAGACTAGAGTCAACTCCTCTTGAGCTACTGTAGCTTGAGACAGAGCAGCCACACTAGAAAACATTTGAGTAAAAGAGCAGCCATGTTAGCAAATGGCCAAGGTGTGCTAATGCCAGCTGACACTTGTACCTCCTGGAGCAAGTGACTCAAGTTAAAAGCACTCATCTCACAGGGACAAGAAAAGAACTCAAGGAAGGAAAGACCATCCATTAAAAATAATCCATATAAGCAATATCATAGCTTTATCTTAAAACAGCAGTAGTAGTGATTGATGTAACCATATGTATTAGATGTTATTTTGCTGTAATACATATATTTTTGTTAAAATGCTTAGACAGTTTGTAAAAACAAAAACAGCCTTGTCAGAGAAGACCATAAAGTAAGGTAGGGAAGAAGCAGGACAGGCAATCCACAATGCTGGAAAAGATTAGATCACAATAAGAAACCCACCCACTTTTCCAAGGATATAAATCCCAACTAACTGACAACTTCCAAGTTCACAAGGGATCTGGTTCAGTCCTGTTCCCAAAGTTTCAGTAAAACAAAAAAAATTAAATAAAACCAGAGATCATTTATTAAAATATTAAAACCAGCCATCTATAAATATTGGGTATAGGCTGGAAGGCGATTTGGAGAACTCAGCAAATTCAAAAAGGCATGCTGCCAATCTGTGTGCCACCCACTTCCCATCTCTTAAATTTCCCCAGCCAGTATAGGTGAGAACCGATGGGCATTTATACACATACTTTTCTGTCCCACGCTGCACTGGAGGTCTGTCACTTCGGAACAGACTTGATTAATTGAGTCTGCTCTGCATAAAAGTGAAGGCAAACTGCGCTGTGCCACATGCAGTTGTGTAAATGGCAAAACGCACATCAGCACGCAGAAAATGGCAGCAGGGCACTTTCGAACTAAAGCACCTCCGATGTGTTTTAGTTCAAAAGTGCGCCACCACCATTTTCTTGGCGCTGACACATTTTGCCGCTTATACAACTGCACGCGTTGCAGCGCCAGGCACTTCTGAAAGCACCCAACGCTTAGGGCATTTCTACACATGCATCTGGCTACCCACAACAGCACAATGTAGACTTTGGGATAAATGTTTAGTTTTACATTTTCGGGTGCAAGCAAATAAAAGTTTGGGCTGTAGACTTGTTTCTGCCTCTTTTATCAGTAACCTACCAACAAGGTAACTTGTAATCTGGGTGTCAGTCTCATCAATGTGGAAAAAGGAAAAAGGACTGTTTCCTGTCACTTGCACATGGCCTGCCTGTTAGTACACCCCAGTATGCCTCTCAGCCTTTTCCCCCACAGAGCAATTAAACCGCTACTGACATTCAGCTTGTGACACACTATAAGCCCCAAGTCCTTCTTTGTAATACAGGCAGTCCTTGGACTTACGACAATTGGTTCCTGAAAACCGCATCTTAAGTTGAAATGTTGCAACTTGGAACCAATTTTCTCATAAGAAACAATGTTAATGGGGGATTAGATCTTGAACCAAGGCCCGATACCCTATTTTCACCAAAAATACCCCAGAATTTTGTACTCGATCAATTGTAGATGAGTAATATAGCTACATTAATGCATTTATATTGTAAATAGCAATCATATTGATTTGGAAGGACTTCTTTTGAGGTGACTTTGCTGGACTTTTTGAAGGGCTCTTGGTTGGACTTTTTGAAGGGTTGTTGGCTGGAGCCTTCTCAGGAGTCCTAGCTGCAGGTTTTTCTGGAGTCTCATCTGCTTTCTTAAAGAAAGCGTCCAAGGAAGCTTGGACAGATGTTCTCCAGGGAAATGAGCGACGCAGAGAACATCAATCGGATCAAGTGTTGTAAAGTCGAAGCTAACGTCATAAAGTTGAAACAGGGTGTCAATTTATAAACTTGTAAGTACGAAACGTTGCAACTCAAAACGTTGCAAGTCGAGGACTGCCTGTACTGCAGCCTCACAAGTTGCTCCCCATTTTAAGGTTTCTCCTCTCTGCTCATCTGCAAGCTTTCCCATCCTTTCTGCAATGTCAGCATGGAATCCCTTCGTTTCTACTGTTATGCTGCAGCTGGGAGTGTGCAGCCCCTTCTCCCCAAAGGCCAAAGACATCCAGAAATTTTTTCCAGGCTCAGAAAACAGCAGGAGGTTTAGCTGGTGCTCTATCGCTGCACAGAGCTCTGAAGAGATGGGCTAGAAAGGAGACAGGCATGCTGAAAACATGACAGAGATTTTAAAAGATGGGAAAGGACAGGCACTGGGATCCTCTAGCAGTAGAGTTCAAAACTGCCAGATATTACAACTGTTAAAAGGTAGTGCTATTATGAGATTGTTGCTAGAGATGACATGCCCTTCAGGCAGGTTGTTTTCTCTTACTGACAAAAAGTCAGGGTTTTACAGGCAAGATCAAATTGGATGTGGACAAGTGTAAAGCTGTGCCAAAAAGGCATCTTTTACTTGGGAGGCTTTGTAGAGTGGATGAAGCCAAATGTATAGCCTATTATAAGATGCTGCATTATTAGGATTATAATAAATGCATTGCGTTTTCCTAGAGGCAGGGACTTTTTGGTGATATCTTATTAAGCTAACTGTATAGCAGGGGGAGATTAAAACAGACAAGCCTTAAAGCCCATATTTCCGTTTATCAAGTCACTTCAAGCCTGCCTAAAGTTGTGCTCTTATTATCTGGATGCATTTCCAGAGAAACTCATTAATAAAGCCACTAATCATAACACATTTTAAAATGACTTTTTAAAATCAGTGCTTTTTACACCATTGTGAAATAAAAATCCCAATTAGGCTGTTTCCAACCATGAAGTGCAGCTACCTTTCCCCCAGTTATGCAACCAGTTGCACCACAGTTGCATAACCAAACGACGTAAACGTCAAAGAAGTGCAGTTCTTCACTAGGCTAATCTCTGGCATGCCGAGCCTGTGGAAGAAAGTTACATAAAAGGCAGAGAGCAACAGCTGTCCACACTTTGTTTGCTATACTTTGCTTAAGAATAGGGTGACCATACATCCCAGTTTAACTGGGACAGTCCTGGATTCTGTAGGCTGGTCCTGGCCGATTGGTCAAAAGTCCCAGGCCGTAGTCTGGCAAGGAGGTGGCGTGGCACAGTGCACCAGGCAGGCGGGCACCACCTCCACTGTGCGGGAACAAGGCAAGAGGACATATGGTCACCCCAGGATGCCATATCCACACACAAGGAGAGCATACCCATACTAACATATCTTGAAAGACATGCCTGCCTTCAAAGAGCCTGACATTTAGGAAGACAAAACAGATAAAAGGATGTAAAAAAAAGGGCAATACGTAAACCATTTCTTGTGTTGCTTTACTGATGCCCACTGCCAGATCTTCTGGGCGTCTATAAATTAAATCAAATGTAAACATAAATATTAAGATAGCAACTCTGCCTGCTTTTACTAAAAATCCTTGTTAAGTACTGCAAAGGTTAACCAACACCCTGGGCAAACACAAATAGATACCTCCTGCAAAGTAGCCTAAAGGTGACTGAACTCTGGCAGATTGATAAAAGGGATCAAACACTGCCAAGAACACCAGGCCACCAGTTGCCTTGTATAATGTTTTTGTTTTTATTTTCAGCTTTTCAAGTCTCCACATTAATGAAAATGAAACTTTGTTTCAGCCACCACTCCCCTCCCTAAAGTGACTTAGTGTAATTAGTTTGCAATTTAACTACATTGCAAAACCATATTAAGAACCAAGAGAGGAAAGTATTCCTGGTCTCCCTCTTTGGGTGTGTGTACTTAACAGACTAATCTATTTCAATCACAGCCTCCATGAAGATCAGCATTTTAAAACTATATTATACGACCACAAAAGATTCTGAAACAAAAACATTTTGGCCTGTTACTATAATGCCACAGCTGCAGTGTTGCAGTACAACAAGAGTATGGCATACCACTAGCCAAGGCTGGATAAGACACAGGAAGGTTTAAGACTGCCACAATGAGTACAGCCATGTATATTACAAAATGGGGGAATTTCTTCATGACCCTAACCAGTAGGCACACAAAAATAAAGGCTGTTCATTCTGATCGTTTGATTTCCTATTTTTTAATCTTTCTAAATTCTTGGCCGTGATCACCTGTGTCAGGAGTTCCTCAAATTGTTTACTGCATTCCCCCCCTCCCCTTCAGTTGCCTTTTTTCACCATGCCTTTGTCCATAGATCATGGGACAGGAAAAATATACCAATGTAAATGGATTTCTGGGTAGTTTGATTAATGTATACATCTTGCTCTTAATTCTTGTTTACTTAATTAAGAAATTCTGTAGCTTATCTCCCTTGAATAAAGACTCTCACAAGCCAATAATTCAAATTCTCTCTCTGTTGAAAGAACATGGTTCTTTAATAAAGCTATTTGGTATCTATAATACTTTTTTCAAAGGGGAATGTTCTTGCAAGTAAGCAGGAACAACAAGAGCAAATATTCTACATACATTAGTTACTAAAGCCATGGGATAACTTCCTATCCACAAAAGTATACAAGAGCTCTACTGAATATTATTAATCCTTTCTCACTTAAAGATTTCAAAAAGCACTAATGAACCTTATACTTCCTGGACTTTGAAATACAAGCACGTCTCTGCAGTGAGGGATGCAATCCTGGCCTCAGTGAAGTCAATGACAAAAGTCCCTTAAATAAGAACTGCAGGGTCTTGCTGGTTAAAGTATGACACTTGGGTGTACTCAGTGAAAATAATCTTAGACTATCACTTGTCCAGAAAGTGTCGGCAGTTATTTTTGTTTTATTCTATATTTTACATCCAAATAAGCCTTAAAAAATTATTAAAATACAAAATATCTGACAGAAATCTCTGGTTACTGACCGTTGTACCAAGGAACTAGAACTTGTTATTTCAACAGTTTAAAATGCATTTCTTGTCCATGCAGTCTAGAGGAGTGCAGTCTTGTCCATGCAGTTTTGAAGTGCAGAAGCATTAAATTTATAGCTTTTGTGCTGCTTTATGGCAATTTAAATTGCAGTCTCTAAATATCTGGATTTATTTTAGTTATAGGATATCAGTACCAGCTTTGCAGATCCCTTTTCTGACTAATTTAGTTGGGATCTGTGGACATGGAGGCTCATGCAAGAACACAATTCAGAAAATACAAGTAGCCTTCTAAACTAATGCAGAAACTAAATGAAAATTTTTCACTGAAGGCAAAGTGAACAGCTGCACCTAAAGGCTGAGCCAGGGGTTTCCTTCAGACCTGTATTTCCTCACGTTGCTAGAGAGCATAAAAGTCTAAGCAGACTATTTAAATAAGGTAATGAAATGACACTAAAATGTGCAAAAATAAATACATTAAAACGTCATCCAGTGCACATTCTGGTTTCAGAGTGCAGAACCTCAAACCACACCATGATCAGGATCTGACAAGCTACAATACAATGTACTCGAGCAAAATGTCGCCTGCGTTACAGTGCAACGCTACATGCTCACACATCAGGGAGGCACAGATTTATACAGACAAATAAGACAAGCTTACCCTGCTGCTTCAGGGAACCCCATTCTGTACAGGGTGACAACTACAGCCCCGCCAAGGCCTATGTTATGCTGCAGAGCAACCTTTGCACCAGGAACTTGCCTCTTCCCGGCTTCCCCTCTCAGCTGCCAGCACAGTTCAGCACACTGAGCCAGACCTACAAAATCGAACACAGAGAAGCAGATCTTGAATCACCTCCCACGGCTGGAACAGCAGGAAGGACAGCAACCTATTACATGGCAGGACTTCAGTAAACTAAGGACTCAAGCGATCAACATATTAAGAAACAAACCTAACAAGTTGTTTTTGATGGGTCTTTGTGCTCTTTTCCCAAGATGGAGGGAGAGATTGCACATCAGATCTCGAGTATTGCAGAAAGCATTGCAGTATCAGACCGCGGTTTCGACTGCCATATATCTGTTCTCTCCCCCTCTTTGTAGGAGTGTGTGCAGGGGCCGGGCTTGGGGATATGCGTTTCAAACAAACATACCATCCCAGATGAGGATACACCTTGTTTCAATAATATTTTAAAAGGGAGCACTAACTGTGGTCTGTAGATATGATGCATCCCCCCCAGTGTTTTTATTGTTTTGTTTTTTTTCTAACGGGGAAAAGAAGAAAAATCAAGACAGAGGCAAACACTCCATATACGTAACTAAAACATGAAAGAAAAAAAAAGATTTACAATGCATCCAACAACTGCTAGCCTTGCACTTCTAGAGAGTCATATCATGTTATAAATATCCATGTTCTCATTTACTTGGAGGTCAGATACGTTGGGAAGAAACATTCCCCCTGCTTTCTAACTCCTGGCGCAGGAGTCAGTCATGATCAATTGTAAACTTTCTTGAATTCACTTCAGCAGAATATTCAGACTTTTAGGTTATTTAGATCAAGGTTGCTTGCATCAGAAACTTCCTTCTTCTCCAGCGATACTGCCAACTACTCAAGTTGTTTCCAAACAAAGCCGTTCTGGGAATATTTAAATATGTATTTTATTTGGATATAAGTATCTTGTTTAGAAACAAACGGAGTGGCTCATAAAACAAGATCTATTGGTGGGAAACTGAACATTTCCAATCTAGACAGAATTTAAAGTGCAGCTAAACATCAGTTTACTAAAACACAGCAGTTAAAATTAAAATCTCACATATTAGTCTTAAGGGAAAAGAGTATGGGAAATATGTATCCAAGCTCCACCCAATACGGAATTAACTGTGCAAATAATCATTTAAAAGGAAAAATGCAGCTGTTATATTGGCCTAAAGGAATTACCAAAATTAAGAAACAGCACCAGAGTTAAAGCAGAGATGGAGAACAGGACCAGGCCACAAGTCATTTAGGCAGCCTACACACATGCTCAGGGGTGAGGAGGCTGTTCTAATTACAGCGGGTTCTGGACAGCCACTCCAATTAAAACGGCTCGCTGTCACATGTATTAAGCCCCCTCACATTTCAAAATGGCTGTGGGACGCTTTATCTAAAGCTCATTCAACAAGGTTTAAATAAAGCACCCCCGCAGACCTTTCAAAACACGCAAGGGATTAATACATGCGACGGTGAGGTGACACGGGACCACTGTAATTAGAATGCAAAAGCATGTCTATAGGCATCCTTAGTTCTGGTTAACCCTGTGATGTGGAGCTAGCATGACTGCCAGCAATAGTGTCTAGACACAATGGCCAAAGTGTAAAAGCTTTTATTTATGCTGCTTCTCCTGGACCAAAAATGGTGGTTCCAAAAGGAGGAAAATCAACTCCACTCCAACCTAGGAAAATGAATACCTGTATGCTTTCCTATGGCTTAACTCCTCTCAGGAACCAGGGCAGTGCAGCAGCATTGGGAGCTGAGGGCGAGTCTGGGGCTGTGCAATTTATTTCACCGATTTAGAAATAACTGGCTTTAATAATCAATATTATTTTCTTTCAAAACAAAATGAGAATAAAGTTTCCATATGCTGAATAACCTGTTTGAGATCTCAAAGTCTCTTATCTGACAAAATAAATGATTGCTTGCATTTTTTCGGGGGATCCTATGCGAAGTCTACAAATCCTATCTGCTTAGAACACTAGCCACTCAAGTAAATCCCCAAATCTGCTTGGTCCCAGTCTTTTAAACCCAAGCAAAATTATTGCATCCAAGTAATTTAGCAAAAGCGAAATGCGCAACTTTGGAGAGGAATTCAGTACCAAATCAATATAAAAAGATTGGGCATACTCTGCAACACTAAGTATGAAAAAGAAATGCAGTGGATTTTCAGTGTGGCTAAAAACGCAATTATCTTAGATCTGAAAGAATATGATGTGATTAAGTGACATGACCCTGGTGTCCCGACTTAGCTTTTTGAAACCTACATCCCAGACTGTTATTCTGCTCATTCTACTCTACTCCAGCAAAGCAGACTACAATCACTACTCCGTTTCCCTCCCATTCGAGGCACAGGCACAGACGCATGGCATGGAGTACCAACTACAGCTATGTAGGAGTGTAACAGGGAACCCTAGCCCTGTTACTAGAAAGCAGGGCAGCCCCTTTAAGACCAGAGTCCTCAGAGTGCAGCCTGCCAGCAGAGCAGGGGTTAAAGGGGAGCCCTGCAGAGACCTGAAAAGGGCACTGTCCACTATCAGACCAAGGAACTGTACAGGAGGAGTTGCTCGGACATGGAGAGCTAATCCTGAGAGCAGCGACTATACCTGTTGGGAGAGTGCTGCAGGTGGGAACTGTTCAAAAGAACTGCTGGTAAAGCCAAGGAAACTTGTCATGAAGAAGGCTCATGCAATGCCCCGAGATAAAAAAGGAAGAACCAGTTCAGCCACAGCACACCAAATCCACGAACAAGAAGTTCTGGAAAAAAAAAAGCTTGGCAGAGATAAGACTTGCAAGCAAAAGGTATCTAGGAAACAGATCACTGCAAGAAGCTGTCTTACAAAATCCCTGGGGTGAGAGCAGTGGGAGAAGCTGTCAGGAGGAGGACTGTCAGAGGGATGGGGCTTGGTACTTCAGGCACAGAAAATTGAAGAGTTTTAACGATACGGTATCTCATTCTGTTCTCATAAACAAACTGACAAGCTATGATATAGATGATTACACGGTCAGGTGGGTGGCAAATTGGCTTAGGGGTCGCACCCACAGAGTGGTGGTGGACGGGTCAATATCTACAGAGAAAGATGTGGGCAGCGGAGTCCCGCGAGGCTCAGTCCTTGAACCGGTGCTATTCAGTATCTTCATCAGTGACTTGGCAAGGGCATGGAGAGCACCCTGTCCAGGTTCACGGATGATACCAAATTATGGAGCAAAGTTAACACACCAGAGGACAGGGAATGGACAGGTGGATCTGGACAGGTTGGAAAAATGGGCAGAACAAAATAGGATGCAGTTCAACAAAGACAAGTGCAAAGTGCTGCATCTGGGCAAAAAGAACCACCAACACACTTACAGGTGGGGGGACGACCTTCTCAGCAGCACAGCAGTGGAAAGGGATCTTGGAGTCATCGTTGACTCCAAGGTGAACACGAGTTGTCAGTGTGCCAAACTGAGCAACAAGGTTAACTGCATTTTATCATGTATTAGTAGATGCATGACGAACAGGTCCAGGGAGGTGATGCTTCCCCTCTATGTGGCACTGGTCAGTACTGCATCCACTTTTAGGTGCTGCACTTCAAGAGAGATGCGGAGAACCTCAAGAGGGTTCAGAGGAGGCCATTCATATGGTCAGAGGCCTGCAGGCAAGGCCCTACCTACAAGGGGAGATTGAGGGACCTGGATCTCTTCAGCCTTTGCAAGAAAAGGCTGAGAAGAGATCTTGCGGCTGCCTATAAATTCATCAGGGGAGGGCAGCAGGGAATGGGAGATGCTCTATTTACTAGGGCACCCCCTGGAGTAAGTAGGAACAATGGCCACAAATTGATGGCGAGCAAGTTTAGGCTGGACATTGGAAACAACTTCTTCATAGTAAGGGTTGCCAGAATCTGGAATGGACTTCCAAGGGAGGTGGTGCTCTTCCTATCTTGGGGGTCTTCAAGAGGAGACTGGACAAGCACCCAGCTGGGGTCATCCACCCCCCACCCCGTGCTCTTTTCTGCCCAAGGCAGGGGGTCGGACTCGATGACCTACTGAAATCCCTTCCAATCCTAACATCTACGAACTCTCAAATCAAGGATTAGAGACTGGGGTCCTCCAACAGGGAACAGCTGAATCTAACCTGTTACAGAATTTAAGAAATGTCCAAAGAATCCACCATTGGTTGCATTTAAATAAGTCAAACCCTGCTTTTAGACCCGATTTGGACTTGATGGAGGGACAGTACTGCTCTGTTAGGTGAGGAAAGATGACCAATTGTATGAGCCAGGGTCCTGAATTAGTCACAGATGCTAGAGAACCCTCCAAGGCAAGACTCAGTTCCCACAGGAGTGCACTGATATGACAAAAAATATCCAATTTCCTCTGAATCTCAATAGAAATGCTAATTTCTGTGGTTAGCCAAATCACAGTTCTGTTAAATATGGGATTAGGGGTAAACAGCAGCAATCCAGACTATCTGAAGGGACAAAACTAGTCTGCTTTCATCCACTCCCTACTGCCTCTCCCTAGAAAATAGAGCATGGGGTTGTAGAGCGCAGACCTTCAAAGGAAAAAAAAAAAAAACCTCCAAACCCCAAAAGTTCAAAGAAAAAAAATTAATTAAGGAGAGCCATGGGCCCACAATGTGAGAGGCCTCTTTGCAAGCACAGAAATGGCTGCTAGAAAAGTAGGGGCAGCAAAGCCAAAGACAACTCATTAGCTATCAAGACAGATATCAGGGAGTTGATCCAAGTTTAAGGTCCCGAGGAACGATCTGTAGGGTTCAACATTCTGGAAGTAAAGGGAGAGGTGGACTTGGGAGATCAAATTCCCATGCTTGTGCAAGAGAAACAAGTGAGAGCCAGGACTGCAGGGCTACATGGCATTATTACACCAGAGGGAGAAAGAGACCCAACTTAATTTAAATGACACAGAAAAACACATGACATACAACATTAGACTTAAGGGGCTGCCTGAAATGCTAAAAGGATAAACCCCTCTCCCTAAAGGAAGAAACTTGACTCATTTTTAAATCTCAGCTCTCTCAAAGAACTGAGAGAAGAGAGAATACAGGCTGTGTTATTTGTTCCTCCTGGGCCCCTTAACAGAATGAGAGAGCCGATTGTGAAATTTCATTATCAATAGAAAACTTGAAATATAAAAAAGTCTGAGAGCAAACAAAAACCTCCCCCAAAGGTCACAAGCTGAAGTTTTCCCAAGAGGTCTCTGCCTCAGCTTAAACACAAGAGAACACTAGGGAAAACTACAGCAGATCCCAGACAAAGTCTCTATAAACTGGGATTCCCATTTAAAACTCAACTTAAAAAAAAAGAACAAACAAAAAAAACTTCCACATTATACAGAAGGAATATTTACAACTGAGCAGACATCTCAGACACAGAAAAAGATACTGCAGCACCTAAAACGCCTAAATTAGTAGCTCAGAAATTTATGGCAGATAGTGACACCCAAAAAAAGAGTAGGTAGGAAAAGACACTAGGGAATATTTTGGCAACTGCAGAAATGACAAGTGATCTGAAAATAAACCAAAAGGAAAAAGTTCCCTCAGTGGAATGGGCTTTGACTTGGAAAAAAAGACCAGTGCTCTGAATCTGCACTATGATTACTTAAGGTGTTTCAATAAAACCATTTATTACGTTACAGGCAGATGTAGAGTCAACTGTTGGCAAAACTGCAGCAAAAAAGAGGAGATTTATGCATTCATGGGGATTGATCCAGTCAAAGACACTGGGATGCCATTTGTAAACAGACATTACAGATTTTTTTGATTTTTTTAAAATCAAGTGATCCTATAATAATCCCTCTTGGGCTTCCTAACAGGAAGAGCCACACTCAAAGAAATGAAGAATGAATCCCTTCTGTTACTTGCTTCCCAACTACTGATAGCCTCACTGGAAAAAAGAAAGATACCTACAATTAGCAGAACATTTCCAAAAAGATGTATGAGACTTAATGGAAAAAAAAAACAAACACATTAGGTATGTAGGCAGCAAAGCAGAGGATACCTAGGTATCTGATTATAATTTATTGAATATTAAAATTACACTCAGTGCTCCCCCTCAAAAAACCCATAGATCACGTGTCCAGATATTTTGGGATATTAATGTTTGATCGGCATGCAAAGTTGGATAACTAAGTAGCAGGTATGATCACTCATGTCTCTAAAACTCCCAATAAACATGTCCTAGATGGTACCTAGAAATTTCACCAATATGGAATACACTAAATATGTCTGCCAGACAGAGAGATGTAATGGTTACTACAGAATATTCATTTAAAAGATGAAACTCAGCTTCGTTATAAACTTTATCTGGTGTTTACATGGCTGATGCAAAACACTGCTTAGCTTCCTAAACAGTCACTAATGAAAAAAGAAATGCATGTGATCTTTAACCTCAAATGGCTATTTACCAAGTTACACTGACTGAACTATTCAACATCTCTTTTCTGCTGTCCCATTTTTTTTTAGTTTTAAAACTGTATAGTTAGTTGTTGTTTCTGTTTTAAGACACTAAGAATTAATGTGGAGGTGTTTACACTCTTCACAGACGATAACTAAAGCAGGTGCGTTTCACTTTTGGCCTAGGATTTGTTGGTTTGTTTGAAATCCTCCCAGCAGCTGGCTTCTAGACTAAAAATCTAAAATCAGCAGTTTGCAGACATATGGCATATGTTTAACTCTGAAAAAAATATGAACTACGTTCTTACAGACCTGAAAATTAGATACCAATCTATATTTAAGCATTAAAGTTTGCAAGCTGATGTTTAAAATACCTGCAAAGCCAATGTTATTTCAGGAAATTACATATAAATACTGCAAGAGGTTCTATGGTACTCCAAGACGAGAATATTCTTTTAAAGAAAGTCCCCAACTGGAAATATGTCTGTCAGTGGTAATATATGAACCTGAAAAGAACCCAGTTTACAGATTTAACTTATATGTCTCATTTGTTATAAGCCATCATAATCCATCACTCAATACCAAGATGTTTATAGGGCAACAGAAGAGGGAGAAAAGATTGGCAGAAAGGAATTAAGAAGGGGAATTAATAACCTATGACACTTTCTTAAGAATAGAGAGGGGTGTTTTAAACTGGGCATCATGGAACTCAAAGTTCAATGACAAATGAAAAGCTCTGGTTATGTGGGCATCACGTACAAATGAATGTACAGCAATAACAAAAACACCCCCATCCCAGCCAAATATTGATAAGAATATAGGGGAAGGTAGAAGTCACCACATTATGGCCCTGCAGTTATTTAAGCAGGTGACTGATGTTTCAGATTTTACAAAGGGGTTCCCATATATATAGTATTCAATCATTACAAGATTAGTAGTGGTCACTCTCCTTATGCCAAATACTAACTTGCATTTTTCAGTAATAAAAGTGAGGGAGTTTATTTTACTTTAGGTACTATTCCTCAGTAGTGAAACTACTTTCTGTTGTTAGAGCATGCAAGTTTCATCTCCAAAAAGGAGTCTGTGCATTCATCTTCATCAGTCCTAACAAGACGGACATGTTCAGAGCAGGTACAATATGTTTGAATGCCAGTAACTTTGTAAAGTAATGTGCTTAGCTGATAAAATGCTTTTAAATTTAGCAAAGTTGCCCTCCTTATTTAATCTTTAAGTAGTAAAGTAGAACTCCCTACAAGGCACACTGAACTAATGACAATGCCACCACACTGTACAAGGCTATTTATTGGTGCCTGTGGCATCTACTAGAGGCAGGATGACAACCAAGGAGAAATTTCCTTCTCAGAATTAGGACTCTTGAAGGTATCGTGCACAATAGCAACCACCTTTGAAAATCTTGACCAATATTTTCCAGAATATTTCAATGTTATTCTTCTATTACAAATTATGTAAATATGTTAAACATGAACTGATAAGGGAACCACGGACTAAAACATCTTCTATCACCTGCGGACAACATAAACAAAACAGTCTTAGAAAAGTTCCCCTCTCGGTTAACTTTTAGTGCTAAAAGTTAAAAAAAAATGACAAATTAAACAGTAAATTGGCAGAGGATACACAAACATTTTTAAAAGCCTTTAGAAACTTTTCAAGTGACCAAGCAGATGTTAGGAATAAAGGGCATCCATACACATGCTCCAGGAGTGGGAGGACACTTTAATTAGAGCGGCTCTCTAATTAAAGCACCTGGAATGTCTCGTCTATCAAGGTCCCCACGTTTCAAAATGGTGGCCGGAGCACTTTATCTAAAGCTCGAACGAGCTTTAGTTAAAATGCCCCCACCACCATTTTCAAGCGCAAGGACGCTGATACATGAGAAGCTGGAAGCAGCTGAAGCACGGTAATTATCACACTGACACGGTAATTATAAACGCACTGCTGCATTATAAATTACAACACATCACAGCAGCCTTGCTGCTCGTGTACAGGCGCCCAAAATTACTGTAAGATGGGATTTTAAGACTACAATAATCAAGTGGGGGGGGGGGGACGGGACAGAGCATAGAGGATGGAATTGGGGGTATCAAAAAGGTGCAAGATTATTTTTACATTGGAATTGGGACATTGCTTCCAAGATGCCCTGAAGTGCTACCATCTGCTTAAGGTCAGAACTCTGACAAATGTATCCAAACATATGAAGGTTAAGAGAAATTAAATTAACAAAATTCACACACCAGAACAAACTCCTATACTTTTATCAACTGACACAGACGGACTAGTTTAAGAACAACATACTGAGCTTCTTTCATTTAGACTATAACTCAATAAATCTTTACAGAAATATTACACATCCAGAAAGGTATATTATGAAATACACATGAGTATGAAATAACCACATCCTGTTATAGTATGTTTTCCATATGTATACTGGAAAAAGAAAACCCAAAGAGAGAATTTTTAAAAGCAGACTAAAAACCCCATGATAGACTATCTTAAAAACAAAGCTAGGCTAGGTCTTGCTAAAAATTGCACTTATAAACCACAAGCATTTAACATCCAAAAAAGTCCCGTGAAATGCTACACTACAAGTTTCAAAGGAATGCATGGGAAGCTGGCTGAAGGAACAAATTTGTATTTCAGCATAACCATAAAAGGTTTTTTAAAACAAGCATTTCAGAAGGCAAAAGAAAACATTCAACTGAAATATTTTGAACCTCTACTCATTGAGAAGGTAGACAAAAAGAGTATTTCATAGAAAGCAATATTTTTAAATTAATAGCTTGATTGCTATTGAGGAAGTATCTAGTAAGAAAAAAAATAAGTGCTTATACCTCAAAGTAAACTATGTTTAAGTCCTCCCTGCAGAGAATAAAATATATTCAAAATATATTTTTGTAGAGAAATAAAAAAAAGGATAAATAACTGTCTTGAATTTTAATGCTATGTTTTCTTTGTTAACAATGTAACTTGTCTGTTGAAAATATTTACATGATCTAAAACACATTAGCCCAAGCTATGCAAACAGATCTGCTGTCGTTCTAGCTACCTAAGTATTCTATACAACGTGAAAATATCTTGTGCTTGAATTAAGTTTAAAAAACCTGAATTTCATATCTATTCCTTATGAAGAATTGTTTTTGATGTAAGCAGAAGTGATATCATCTAACATCTTCTGTTATCCTGGTGGTGCTGAACTGCTTGTTTAGTTAATCAAGTGAAAGGAGGAAAATAACCGCCTCTTTTGAGCTCAAAGGTGAAGAAAGATTAAAGGCAATCTATATATTACATAAGACATGACAAAAGTCAAGAGTACATGAACCTCTGTTCATGAAATAAACCGACAGCAAAACAGCATCTCAGAATGTAAGTTATTTTCTTAGAAAACCAGATATATTACATTCGTGAATCCCAGTACTCCCTCTACACAGTGATTTTACAATCTTCAGAAACATAGATAAGACTGTCAGTCAAGTCAAGATAAGATTATCATATCAAGTTCAATCATCAGACCTCAAAAATCACTGCAGAAAGAAAATATACACTTGTATTACCTGTGGCACCCAATGGGTGACCTTTTGAAATCAAACCACCACTCGGATTTATGACCCATTTTCCACCATAAGTATTGTCTCCTTTGTCAACCAGTTCACCAGCTTGTCCTATAATACAGGATATGACAAGGGAAAAAATGTGAAAAGACATCACAGTACACTTTTATATCTTTCACTATTGCTTTATACATTTTAAGTCAGCCAAAACTAGGAAACTAAACATATAACATTTTGGGAACAAATAAGACTTAACTGAATGATATAAACATTAACTGCTTACAGTATTTTGAGAATGAGTCTTATATGGAGGGTAGGCGATGCCAAATATATAAAAGCGTTTCAGTTTACTGAATAGCTAATTTAATGAAGGATGGAAGTACAGCAAGAACATCACATGTTTCTGAAAATGCCAAGTAGTCATCGTTAAATACTGCTATGTTCTGCTCTGGAAATGACAACTTGCAGTCATAACATTTACAACAAAATTGGCATAATGAAAAAGTAATGCTTTAATTTTTTATTTTTTTTTTATGAAGCTTAAGAATTTAACACAGATCGTATTAAATGCCAGATTTTGATCCACAGGGGTGAACAAAATCTTACACGTGGATTAAGTCATTTGCTCACTGAGGAAGCGTGACCAAGTGGTTAGAGTTAAACAAACATATTAGGGTCAACTATTTTCATGGTACTGATTGAAAAACTAAACCAGAGCAGGCAAAAATAACAGGGGGAACATTTTAGATCAATGATGCTCAACCTCTGGCCTGCAAGCCACAAACTTCTGGGATCCTTTGACCCTAGCTGACTTCCAGGGGGCTGGACTCCATGATCTTCCGAGGTCCCCTCCAGCCCTAGTGTCTATGAACAGCTGGCCCATGGGTCTCCCCACAGGTCCAGAAATTTGGTGGAATGGTGCTAGCTTTAACTGCTGCCCCCTGCTACCAAACTTCCAGACCCATGGGGAGCCCTGCGGGCCAGATGATGGGAACCCTGCACCCTAGATTGTACCAGTGCATGAGGTCACTCCATGGCTAGTGCCAGCATACTGCATTGCACCTGTGGACTGATCCTGCGCGTGGGATCCAGTCCCATACCACTCACCCAGCCCATACGACCATAAAGTTGAGCATCACTGTCATAGGTCAGTGATTTTCAAGTCACAGAACACTTTCTTATCACTTCTGCTGTGGAACCCCTAACCCTGGCTCTGCCAAGCGACCTGGCCCAGCAACAGCAGTGCACCGCCTCCCAGCCTGCTCCGCTATTACCCTTTGCAGAAGCCTTGATGACCTGTCCTGGAACACAGTTTGAAAACCAACGTCCTAGGTTATCAACTGTAGTCCCTTGCTATGACAGATAAGCATGTCATAATGCTCCTTTGACAGATGAATCAAGCTGCATTCTAAGAGTAGTTAGACTTTGTCTTCACACACTTCATACATTTTCAGGCTAAGTTTATCCATGAATAGCTTACACCCAAGAAAAGTAGGGCTGGAAGGGACCTCTGGAGGCTATCTAGTCCCGCCTGTGGCAGAATCATCTCTATCCAAGCCATCCCATACAAATATATATCTAACCTTTTACCAGCACTATACAGTCAACCCTGACACACAACTACAAGACATAATATCCTAACTTGCCATAGGTAAAGCTGGGGGGAACAATGCTGCATCCCCAACACTGCCCTTTCGCTTCAATAGCTTTAGCATTTCTCTCCCCACTTTATTCCCTCATTGCACTGTGAATTTTTAAAGAGAAATCACATCCCTTCTCAGTTTTTATTCTGCTAGACTAGCCGAGCCAAGTCCTTTTGGTTCTTTCCCTCTCAAGAGAGACCTGCCACTCCCCTGATCATCGTTGTAGCTAGAGTTGCCAACCCTCCAGGATTGCCCTGGGAGTCGCCAGGAATTAGATACAAATCTCCAGAAGACTGCTGAGAGTCACCTGGGAGATAAGTGATAGGGCATTCATTAAAATAAATATTAAAATGTTGAATCTGATTTATACAGTAGTCCAGTGGGTTTTTAAAGTGTAATAGTCATGTGCATTTGCCTCTGATGTAAAGTCTACGCGCTATAATTAATATCATTACATCATGTAATGAAACCTTCCGGAATAGATCCGAACAGAGTTGGCAACCCTAACAGTAGCCCTTAGAAGTATCCTGGATGGAATGGGCGCATCTTTCTTCAACATGCGTGACCAGAATTTTAGACAGCATTAGAGATGAATAAGAACCTACCGAATTCATGGCAGAAGTGTATGCACGGCAGCTCCTTTAATCTTGCAGGTTCCCCCACAAACCTCCCTCATTGCTGACTGGCTGAGGGGCCCCAATGGCCCTTCTGCTTTCCAACCGGGAGGCAAAAAACAGTGTCATATTTAAAACTGTGGTTTTTGCCTCCCTGCCAATCAGGAGCAAGTGGGAGGGTTCCTCCACAAAAAGACAGCAGGGGAGACATGCGGGGGAACCTGCAAGATTAGAGTGCTGTGCAGCCCACTTCTGCTGCGAATTCAGTAGTTCCCTACAGATGAAGTTGCACATGTAAGACAGAGCTCACCTGTACAAAAGAATTAATGGCCCTCATCTCTTTTAGAACAAACCGATACATCCCAGGCCCTTGTTACGGTCACGTCACCTTGAAAGATCAGTTATCCACTGATGCACCCTGGTCTCTCTCGTCCTCTGTCATTTCTATATGATGCAGAAATTCTTACACATAAGGAAAGAAAATCTCCATATTATATATGATTCTGTATTATTGTACAGATGCTAATTAATGGCCAAATGGGAATAAATGGTAGAGTGCATTTCATTTTCTGTGTAGGTTATGATGCATTGAGAATGAAGAGCAGGCATTTCAGTTTACTGAACGTGTGTTAATTCCCAAAATAAATAAAGGCCGCAATCCATTTCCTAAATGGCCTGGGGTAGATCCAGAGGGGGAGAGGAGGCTGGGTGGCAGTGCGTTTGTATCCCCATTTCAATGGTGCAGGCCCTTGTGCAGACCCTTCCAATGGTGCAGACCCTTTCCGAGTTCACTGGCATGTCAGTGCAGGCTGCTGCTAGTCCTGCAGATGTTGTGAGCTCTCTGACCTCACCAGTGTGGCCTCTGGCCAGTCCCTGCTTTCACACAGCCCCACAACCTAGGGGTGAGTACAACCACTGCTCATCCCCATTTTTTCCCAGCTGCCAAATTCAGCATGTGGGGGGGGGGGGGGAAGAGTAAGGGGAAAAGCAAGCAGGGGTGGTGCTTACCCTTAGGCTCCACAGCTGCATGAAAGCAGGGGCTCTGGCCAGAGCTCAAATGAATCAGCTGGTGAACTCAAAGCTCACACATGCACTACACAGCCAAAGTGGGTGTTGACACTCCCCTGGTCTGTCCTGGATCTACCCAGGGGCCCTAAATGCTTAAAGGACCAGCACCTCCTTCACATCCCATCAAGATCCCCAAGGTGAGCTGAGGGGACCGCCCGCAAGTCCCATCTGTATGCCAAGTTTTTTTGGCAAAAATGCATGGGAGGATATTCTTGTAGTCACCCTTCAGTATTCACAGCTCCCTTCCCCTTGAGGCCGAGTCCATGCCTGGACACTTTTTGAAAGCATTGTTTGGGCAGGCTTTTAAACTGGCAGGGCTAAGTTTGGGGGTTCTGTTTTATCATTTACTATTTTTATTGTCATTTTATCTGTTTTTATGACTCATTTTGTTTTTAATGTAAGCTGTCCTGAGCATTTTTTTTTTTTTTTAGGGAGGTGAGCAATCAAATAGTTTGCTAGGAGTGCCACTGGGGCCCAGCAAGTAGTAATGTGGTATACCGCAAGCATAAGAAGCAAGGGAGGTGGAAGAAAAGTCGTAAGATTAAGTGCTTCAATTTTTTCTATGGACCTTCGAATCTCAGTTTGATGGTTCATAATTATGACTAAACTCCACCTAGTGGTATGTAAAATCATGCCATCTTTCATAAAAATTAATAAGTGAATGAAATGAAGTTTTATGAAAACACTGTTTGTGCAAAAGGAATTATAAAATCTGAAACAAGAACATATTAAATTGTAACAATGCACCAGATTTGATATTTACAATCAAGCAAAAAAAAAAGTGTCCAGAACTAAGCATCTCCATAGTCCCGAGGAGCACTTCTGTTTCAGAAAACTATCTTCAGAATTTCAAAAACAGCCCCATACATCTGCTGCATTGATTAGCCATATTATTATTTGTGGCACTGTCTCTAATCCATGCTCTCTCTTCAAAGCCATTTAAATAAGAGTTTTCTAGAAGATACATATTGAATTCATACCTTAAATTATAAATATTATAAAAACACATGCAAAAAAGTTCTACTGACTAAAATGTTAAGCATCACAAAATTCCTTTTTATGAAGTTTTTGGTTTTGAAGCCACAGTTTGTTTCTGTTTTTTCTTTCAGCTCACTGTAACAGCTGAGCTAATGTTTTAAACCGTAATACTGACTTTAAGCGTTTCTTGCAGGTAAGAGGGAAAGAAAAATTAAAAGACTGTTTACTCACACTATTAACAACCAGACAATTAGTTTGTAACAATCTAGCATTGCCACTGGAAGCAGCAGGGGAGCACCAATCATGTTAGGAAGGTTGATAAGTAGCAAAATCAAGCGGCCACAGCAGTAGCTGGAAAGAAGCAGAGTGGATGAATAGAAGTCTTGGAGCAGGAAAAAGCAGCTGAAAAGGGGAGACCTGAAGCTGAGAAACAATCGCATGTCAATTTTTTCCTCTTGTCCATCTAAACAAAAAACAAGAAAATCCCTGCAACTTGCAAATGACTTTTATACCAGTCCACGACTGTGATCTGTGATGCCTTGTGTTTTTCAACCACATGAAGTCATTTGTCAGCATTTTTACAATACATATAAAACATTATTTATGATGGTTATGCAGAATCTGCTTTTGTTCACCCTTATGAAGCTGGCAAATCATGCTCTTAGGATATAAGATTGATGCAATAAAGCAGTAATAATGCTATCTACAGAAATAGGCAAAGTTACAAAACATTAAGTGTTTTCCATTTTATTAAGCTCCCTTTTATTAACTGGCCTTATTACCTTCAGGGCAGAGACCCAATGCTTCATAAGTAAGGAGCTCATTAACTGAAAAACAGTCATGAAGTTCAATAACATCCACATCTGTAGGTTTCACACCTGCCTTTGAAAAACATTTTCGTGCTGCTTCTTTAGTCATATCATAGCCAACCTACAAGAAAATACGAGTTGAAGTGTAATTGGAAGAAACAAAGCTAACATTTTCATGTTATGATTTACAGCTGAACGGGATACATGCACGTTCTCTTAATATGAACTAAATACATTGTATAAACAAGCAGTGTTTTAAGTCAGTGGTTGGTAACCTATGGCCTGCAGGCTGGTTCTGGCCCCCTGAGTGATTATATCCAGCCTGCAAAGCCCAGATAGCTGTAGTGATTCTACAGTGGGCGGGTTTGCACGTGCTGTGGCAGCAGCTGGATCAGAAGCGGTAGCCAGCCAAAATAACAGAGCTTTGTCCAAGGCAGGCTGCCATTTCTGCTTCTACAAGTTTGCCAATCCCTGCTTTAAGTAATGGCAATCTATTTTAATTGAATTAGATGTGCCCAATATGCAAGACTTAGATATTCATTACAAAATTTGCATCAAAAAAAAATCTCAAGGCATGGACAAATTGAAGCATTCTGAATTCCCCTTCGTCTCTCCTGCCTTTAAAAGATGTTCCAAAGTGTGGAGGTCATTTATTAAGAGCTTCAGTCATTTTTTGAAGTGCTTCTTTGGCCATGAAGGTCTACTCCCACTGGCTGAAGCACGTCAAACAACATGTCTGTCTGTCTATGGCCTCAAGATTCAACACTAGAAAAAATGTAAGGTTTTTTTCCAGTGGTGGCTCTCTTCTATTTCTTCTCCCTAGTGGAAAGGCCAAGTGAGCATAAACTCAACCCGAGCAAACAGAACTGCAAGTTTCCAAGGAGTGATATGTGGTATAAAAACTGGGGAGCAGCAGGAAATGCATAAACTTTAAACCTACCAGTGTAATGCAATTCTTTTCCTCAAATGTACTTGAAAAGTCAGTGACCATCTCCTGGGCCACAATTTCCACTGCTTTTGACTGCAACCCATACTTTCTCACAAAGTCTTCACTGCCCAAAATTGCAGCGGCGGCTCCATCAGATGTTGGGCTGATTGTAAAGAAAAATATTATTTCATCACCGCATAACAACAACACTTTTTCATGCAAAGGGAGTGCTGTCACTACCAAGAGCCAGGTTAACCCTTCCCTGACCCTGCAGCAGCCAAATTCAGAGTTTTGGATCCTCCCTCACCATATACAGCTGTGACAGTTGCAAGGCCGTGAAAAGTGACATCTCTCTCAGCAGCATCTTGCCCCCGCTCTGTGTCACCAGAGGCTCAAGCCTCCCTGTTTCTATTCTTGCACCCTGGGACAGAAACTCTACCAAATATGCCTTGCAGGGGGCAGGGCAAATCAGAGCAGCACTTAACAGATGGGACTTAACTTTTGTCCAAAATGTTGGCCACCACTGTTGTAGACAGTTAATGGGAGCACAATTAGATTCCAAAGTAGATAGTGGAGCTCAAAGATGTTAAGCACTCAGTTGGTTTAGGTATTTAACCACCGTGCAAACAACTGGTGTTAGAATGTAAGCAGTAGGCAACAAATTTAAATGGGAGTGTGTTTAGCAGTGAAGCAAGTGATAGATACACTCTGAAAAAGCCTAAGTAAAGCACAATGTATCAAATTATAGTTCAAGCAAAAGAGCTGAATTTTGCTATAAAACTATCATCTAGCTACACTCAAGATCAAAAGCCTACAGCTTTTAATCCACAGGCACATTTTTTTTCAACATTTATTTCTACATAATATTAAAACCCTGCTTTACTGAAGTCCTTTTCTTACCAACACTGTAAAAGGGTCAAGAATTCATAAACTTGGCGAGACTTCAACACTTCATCCAAACTGTACTCCTCCTGGAACTGGGAATACCTAGAAAAAAAGTGCACGCAAGCTCTATTTTTGCATAATCACCACCAGTAGTCACATCAATCAATCATAGATGCAGGCACTGTAAAATTACAGTACAATACCAAAACTAGAGTAGAAGGCACTGAATATTGAATATGTAGGTGATGATAATTTCACCGTGCAGAATACAAAAGCATCTAGTTTATTGTATAGCTTTGTTTTTTACTGTTATATTATGCAAACATTTTCCCCAAAATTTTTGCCCCATCATCATTACTAAGATACAGGACTGCACTTACGGGTTGTTAGTTGAATGCTTATGATTCTTCCAAGCAATTTTTGCAAATTGTGCTAATGTTGTTCCTGAAAAAGTGGGAGGAAGAATTAAAGTGAAGCTGTAGTGAGGTACAATAACATTACCCCAACCGAACTATTAACAAGAGCTGGGTATGTTGCAGTTTAAATTCTTATGGCACTAGCATATACACCTCTGCATTAATACTTTTTTCCCCCCACCACAAACAAAAATCTGGTCAGTAAATTGTTTCAATTACTAGATAAAAGAAACCATTTAAAATTGGTTTATCTAATAAAAAGTCCTACTTGGATAAACAACATCTGTGCTGTATCAGTAATAGAGCAAAGAAAATATAAGTGAGGCTACTGGGAATTAGATAAGCAATCTTCAACAGACACATGTTCATACTTTAAAATGTAGCATTTATCCATTGCACAATAATGCCTTTGAAATATTAGCTTCTCAGTTTAAATACCAGATGCCCTCTAGTTTGGCTGACAGTATATATACTGCCAAGTAGGAGACTAAATTTTAGATCCAAATTCCCTTGGCTGGTTACAGCCAAAGGAACAGCAATGATGGTACCTTAAATACATATTTAAAAACTAGATTAAGATGCAACATTCCATGTGAAATAGTTGCAGTTCACATACAACCTCCTGCCTTATGCCAGGTGCAAAAACAAAGCAGCAAGGAAATGAAGTGTTATGTCACCTTATAGTACGTACCCGAGTTAATACAAACCTTACCACTACCACAGCTACTGTACACCATAAAGCAGTGGTTCCCAACCTTTTTTTGCTGTGACCCGCTGCTGGGAGCAGAGTGTGGCGGCAGCTGCCTGAGGGCAGGGGTGCTCCTGGCACATGGCACAGCTCGTCATTTGTGTGTGGCACCACCGGCATTGCCCCCACGACTCATTTGGGTCACGACCCAAGGCTGGGAACCGCTGCCATAAAGCATACACCACAGCCTTAACTGTCTACTCCAACAATTTTTTGTTTATGTAATAACCCTTTATCAAAGTACAACCTCCAAACTCTAGTAGCTGTGCATATTTGGAGCAGTAATGTTGCTCTTAGTGAAAGGAAAGCATGGAATGAATGCTACTTCTATTTATAAACTAGCATCCCAATACACACATTTTTCTCTCTAATGTGACTTCCCCCCCATAAACGTAACCAGTACCGTATTTCTCCATATGTTCTTTTCCAGCATTTCCAAACATCTGAGGTGCTAATGGAGCTGTTGCTAAGCCGTATTTGTTTATCATTACTTCCACATGTTTGTCTAGTGGATTGGTCCTCTCCTTTTGCTAAAAATAAAACAAAACAAATAATAATTATAATATAACAAAAATCCAAAACAGTTGTATATTTAGCAGCTGGCAAGTTAAGAAAGAAAAAAAAAAAAAAAAAAACAAATCCTTTTTTTTTTTTTTTTTTTTTTTTTTAAATATATAAACACAACAGAATTCCTATAAAAATGTCATGGACTACAAGCAAAACAATATATTTATTTTAACAGCTTAATTACACATTATGCTGACATTGTTAGAGAACCTTGATCAAATACAATAACCTTTCTACATGAGGAAAGACAAGCAGGCATATGATATCCAACGTACATAAATGCTCACAGTGGTTGTACAGCAGCGGTGGGCAAAATATGGTTACTGGATCTAGACCACCAAGAGATTTTGTCCAGCACGTGGTGGGTCCCTTGGCCCTGCCCAGCCTAGGTGCAGGGGGCAGCCCATGCTGTGATGCATGCAGCTGGTTCCACCACCCCCGGGCACACAGCAGGGTTGGGGTGGCGTGGCAGTCAGAACTGCTTCCCAGCAGCCCTGGCACTGGCAGCTCCTTCTGGCAGCCACCATTGCCGGATCCAGCCCTGCTGCCCAGGCACCGCGGCCCATCTGCCCCACCCTACACCCACTGCTAGGGGCAGGACCTGTGCAGGCAAAACACAGCCAGAGGCAGATGGAATGGGGCTGCAGGCAGGCAGGGAGTAGTCTGGGAACAGGACGAGTGAATGGGGCGAGATCACAGAGCCATGAAAGCATAGGGCAGAGCTGCGATCTGCTACCCACATGTCCCCGGAACGGGCACTGGTTCCAAGGGCAGAGGCACGCTGGGAGTGGATTGCAGCTCAGTGTCAAGCAGAGTCACTTAGGGAGTTTTGGTGTGCTGTTGTGGGCGAGGAGGGTGCCGTTCCTCCCCCCTTGAAAGGTGCTGACCCAGCTTACCAGCTCATGAAAACTCCTTAAAGTGGCCCTCAGGCCAAATAACTGCCCACCCCTGCTATACAGGTTACACAGAGATTTTGTTAATGTTTCAGTCCTTATTTTGAAGAAATGCTTTCATTCTTTTTATTTCACAGAATATCAGAAAGTTAGGGTTAGAAGGGACTTGAGAAGGTCATCTAGTCCAACCCCCTGCTCAAAGCAGGACCGGCCCCAACTAGATCATCCCAGCCAAGGCCAGGTCTTAAAAACCTCCAAGGATGGAGAGACTCCACCACCTCTCTGGTAACCTGTCCCAGTGTTTTACTACCCTCCTAGTAAATTTCCCTTGCTGCAACTTGAGACCATTGCTGCTTGTTCTGTCATCTGCCACCACTAAGAAGTCCAGCTCCACCCTCTTTCGAACCCCCCTTCAGGTACTTGAAGGCTGCTATTAAATCCCCTCTCAGTCTTCTCTTCTCTAGACTAAATAAACCCAGATCCCGCAGCCTGTCCTCAGAAGTCATGTGCCCCAGGCCCCGAACCATTTTCACTGCCCTCCAATGGACTCTCTCCTTTCTCTAGTGGGGGGCCCAAAACTGAACACAGTACTCCCGATGTGGCCTCCCTGGTGCTGTATCGAAGGGAATAATCACTTCGCTTGACCTGCTGTCAACACACCTACCAATGCAGCCCCAGATGCCATTAGCCTTCTTGGCAACAAGGGCACACTGCTGGCTCATGTTCAGCTTATTGTCCACTGTCACCCCCAGGTCCTTTCTGCAGAGCTGTTGCCCAGCCAGTTGGCCCCCAGCCTGTCCTGGTGCATGGGATTGCTCCGTCCTAAGTGCAGGACTTTGCACTTGTCCTTGCTGAACCTCATGAGATTCCTTTTGGCCCAATCCTCCAATTTGTCTAGGTCACTCTGAATCTTAACCCTACCCTTCAGTGTATCTACTACTCCCCCCAGCTTGGTGTCATCTGCAGACTTGTTGAGGGTGCACTCTATGCCATCTTCCAGGTCACTGATGAAGACATTGAACAAAATCGACCCCAATTCAGACCCGAGGCACTCCACTCAGTACCAGCTGCCAAGTAGACATTGAGCCATTGATTGCTACCCTCTGAGCCTGAGGTTCCAGCCAGTTTTCTATCTACCTTACAGTCCATTCATCCAGCTTGTACCTCCTTAGCTTTTCCTGTGAGAATGTTGTGGGAGACCATATCAAAAGCCTTGCTAAAATCAAGGTACACCACATCTACCAGTCTCCCCACATCCACATAGCCAATCAACTCATCATACAGGGCAATCAAGTTGGTCAGGAATGAGTTGCCCTGGGAGAATCCATGATGACTGTTCCTAATCACCTTCTCCAAGTGCTTAGAAATGGATTTCTTGAAGATCTGCTCCACAATTTTTCCAGGAATCAAGGTGTGGCTGACCGATGTGTAGTTCCCTGGATCCTCCTTTTTCCCTTTCTTAAATATAGGCACTATGTTTGCCCTTTTCATGCAGGACCTCTCCTGATTGCCATGAGTTTTCAAAGATGATGGCCAGTGGCTCTGCAATTACATCAGCCAACTCCCTCAGTACCCTTGCGTGCATCCTATCCAGCCCCATGGACTCGTATATGTCCAGCTTTTCTAAATGGTTCCTATTATGTTCTTTTGCTACTGCCGGCTGCTCACCTCCTCCCCAAACTGTGCTACCCAGTGCAATAGTCTGGGAGCTGACCTTGCCTGTGAAGACTGAGGTGAAAAAGGCATTGAGCACTTCAGCCTTTTCTGCATCCTCTGTCACAAGGTTGCCTCCCCCATTCAGTAAGGTACCCACACTTTCCCTGATCCTCCTCTTGCTACCAACATACTTTTAGAAACCCTTCTTGTTACCTTTCACATCCACACCTAGTTGCAACTACAATTGTGCTTCGGCCTTCCTGACTTAATCCCTGCACGCGCAAGCAATGCTCTTATACAGTCAGTTATTAAAGTTTCCACTTCTTATAAGTTTCCTTTTTGTGACTTAGTTTACTGAAGAGTTCCCTGCTAAGTCACGCTGGTCTTCTGCCTCACTTGCGAGTCCTCCTGCACATCGGGATGGTTTGGTCCTGCAGTCTCAGTAAGGCTTCCTTAAATTACAGCCAGGTCTCCTGGACTCCTCTCCCCCTCAGTCTGGCTTCCCAGGGGATCCTGCCCATGGAGTTCCCTAACCAGAAAAGAATGAATCGAAGTCTGAAGTCCAGGGTCCTTACTCTGCTGCTCCCCATCCTTCCTTTCCTCAAGATCCTGAGCTAAATCATCTCATGGTTGCTGCTACCCAAGTTGCCATGCACTACTACATTCCCCACCAATTCTTCCCTGTTTGCAACCAGCGGGTCAAAAAGAGCATGGCCCCTATTTGGCCTCTCCAACTCTTGCAGTCAAGAAGAGCACAGCCCCTAGCTGGCTGTCCAGCACTTACACCAGAAAGTTGTCCCCAGTGCGCTCCAAAAACTTGCTGGATTGCCTGTGCACTGCTGTATTGCCCTCCTAGCAGATGTCAGGAGGACTGAAGTCCTCCCATGAGAACCATGGCCTGTGGCCAGGAACCTTTCACTAGCTGTTTGAAGAAAGCCTCATCCACCACTTCCTCCTGGTCTGGTGGTCTATAGCAGACCCCACCACGACATCAACCTTGTTGCTCTTCCCTCTGACCCTAACCCAGACTGTCTACAGGCCTATCTCCAGTTCCATCTGGAACGCTGAGCAATCATATGGCTTGTCTACATAAAGTGCAACCCCTCCTCTTTGCCCCTACTCGTCCTTCCTGAACAGTTTGTACCCATCCATGACAGTGCTCCAGTTATGCAAGCTCCCACCAAGTCTGTTATTCCAATCATGTCATAGTTCTGTGACTGTGGAAGGACTCCCCATTCTTCCTGCTTGTTTTCCAGGCTCCGTGCATTTGTGTACAGGCACCTGAGGTAATTAGTAGACTACCCCGACCTCTCAGAAAGCATGAGAGCACCTCCTTTCTTTCCCTGTCCTGCTTGCTCTTTCTCCAGGTCACCCACTTCCCCAGGGCTTTGGTTTCCATCCACCAGTGAACCTAGTTTCAAGCCCTCCTCACTAGGTTAGTGGGCCTGTCTGCGAAGACACTCTTCCCTCTCTTCGTCAGGTGGATCCCATCAATCCTCCTTCTTGGAACAACATCCTGTCTCATGATGAAAACCTAAATTTAATACCGATGATGAAGTGAGTATTACCCCATTCATGTGTCAGAGGCATAAAGGCCAGAAAGCCAGCGACAGGTAGAACGGTCAATGTCAATACAACCGTGGGTGCCCAAAGGAGGGCCATGAGGGCATTCATAGATGATGTGGTTAGCCATTTAAGTCTGAGCACAACTGCAACCAGCATTGTTGGAGAGGTCCCAAGATGCATGCTCACCTCAGAACAGGCGTTGGACAGTTTGAGACGGTTAAGAGCAGTCCAGGCCCTGCGGGGCAGCTGTCAGCCTGAGGGGCAGAAGCTGGCATTGGGGATGAAGTTCTTTAGCCACAGTCCTTGTGCAGCATATTGCCTGCTCCACTGATGGGAGGTCGCTGCGGTGGGTAACATGCCATCTGTGGATCTGATGAGCTATTGGCCTGAGTGGAGAACGGGTTCTGAGACTTCAGGTGATAGCTGGTTTTCTGTAGTGGTGCACTAATAAAGACTTTTTGGGATGATACCGATGGCTGATTTTTGATGAGCCATACTGGGCAATACCAATCCAATTGCTGATGCACAACCCGGCAGCTTGGAGAGCAGCGTCCGGCTGGTAAGTCCGCTGTGGGGGCATGATCAAGACCCCTGCGGTGAGGGAGGGAGTGAGGCTAGGGCTAGGCATGGAATGAGTGACTCGTCAGGGGGCATGGGAAGGGTGGGGCAGCTCCTGCCGCTGCACACACCCCAGGGGAGCCATGTGCCCCCTGGATCTGTGCGCGGGTCAAGGGCGGACTGCTGCTGTGGGCTTGGGCTGGAGGGTGGCACCAGGCTCTTACCAGTGGGGGACTGGGCCAGGGCTGCACCATAGCCCACCCCAGCCCATTACCCCTGCCCCTTTCCCCCCAACTTACCAGCTGGACATTGCTTTCCAAGCTGCCAGGCTGGTCACGTGCATGCTGCAGCTGCGCATGGTATTTATTGGCATCATTAATCGGCCACATCAGCCGATGTCAACTTTTCTTTTAATCGGTGCCAATACAATATGGACTGGCGTACTGGTGCACCTCTAATTTTCTGGCTTGTAGCTAGTAGGCTGAAGTGCAGACAATGGTCCAGGTCTTAGGCTTTAAGGCCTAAGACCAGGGTGGTGGAGATATACAAGTGGGTGTACCGCCTCCACACGGCCACTCTAGAAGAAGCCAGTAGGAGGGCAGAGGACTTTCTGGAGGCAGAACTTAAGTGTTGGGACCTCTGGGGAAGCCAGCCGCTAAGCAGTAGGGGAAAGCCCAGTGGGCGCAGAGTTGTAACAGGTTGTCAGATAGCTTGGCTCGGTATGGCTTAAATTAGTCCTTGAGCCTTTTAATCTGGTCCCAGCAACAGTTCTTCTCTGGGCTCAGAAACACTGGCTGCAATGTCATGGGCTCTTCTGCTCCTCAGGGCTCAGTCAAAAGCAAAGCACTCCAAATTCATATTTCAAGCCCTGGGTCAATACATAACACAGAACACAACAAAAAAAATACAAGGAGTCCACAATGAACACCCACAAGCAGGGGTTAGTTCATAAGATAAGAACTAACCCCTGCTTGCGGGTGTTCAGTGTGGACTCTTTGTATTTTTTAGTTCTTATCTTCTGCTCTCTTTTCTCCCTTGGTGAGACCTGCCTCTCCCTGTGAACAAGTCCACCTCCAGGTCCTCCTACCCACTTCCTCTTCCCATCTCCTTTATTTCTGGGCCAGCCAGCCAACTTCTCATTACTGATTAACTGAGCCAGCTGTGGCCCCCAAAGTGGGTGGCCTATTACCAGCTGGCTAATTGCTCCAGGGTGCCAGCCTGCATCCTGTTCAAGAGGGACAATCAGAAGACCTAGATTCTCGTTTGGGAAATCATTTCAACTGCTCTGTGCTTCAAAATTACTAGCTGTAAATTTTCTGCACCTCACATCAATCCTTCCTTTAAGGTAATTTAGGTCATGTACTGTCAATAGGTATGAAGCCCTATGAGGAGAGACTGGGGCACCTGGACCTCTTCAGCCTCCGCAAGAGAAGGTTGAGAGGCGACCTTGTGGCTGCCTATAAGTTCATCACGGGGGCACAGAAGGGAATTGGTGAGGTATTATTCACCAAGGCGCCCCCGGGGGTCACAAGAAATAATGGCCACAAGCTAGCAGAGAGCAGATTTAGACTGGACATTAGGAAGAACTTCTTCACAGTTCGAGTGGCCAAGGTCTGGAACGGGCTCCCAAGGGAGGTGGTGCTCTCCCCTACCCTGGGGGTCTTCAAGAGGAGGTTGGATATGCATCTAGCTGGGGTCATCTAGCCCCAGGCCTCTTTCCTGCCTATGCAGAGGGTCGGACTCGATGATCTATTGAGGTCCCTTCCGACCCTAACATCTATGAATCTATGAATTTCTGAACATAAGTTTTCCAGTAGCAGAATCTATTGGGATATTCAATTTCTCATTGTACAATAAAAAGATATGCAAATATTCTATATTTTGATACTTAGTCTTTAAATTTGCATTCGTACATCTTTATCTAATAGATCTTTAACTAATGGATAGATGTGAGAGGACCTGGAGCTCTCACTTATTTTAAAAACAGGATTGTATTTTATACAGTAAGTTGTATAAACTGCTGGAGACACTTACCATAATATTCAATGGCCCCTTCTCCATCTTCTCAAAGCCAAGAGCCAGAGCACAATTTGCCAGACCTTAAAATAATACAGTATATTTAAAAACCCAGATTTTTATTAATATGAATTTTTGCATAAGAAACACACAAAGATTGGTATCATGTTCCTTCTTCCTTTTCTTCACTTCTGAATTTATTTATTTTTTTTGGTAAGAAAGAGAGATGAGAGAACTGCCTCAAGGACTAGAAAGAGATTCTGTTCCATTTCTCATCTCTCATTTGAGGGTAAGTTAGTGTAGACTTTTAAATGAAGAGTTCCCTTCTCTTTC